TGGTTAATTATTCATATTTCCCATGAGCTGATTCGCTACATAAATGTTATATATTTATGTGTGGAATGTCAGATTTTTAAAACTATGAAAAAAATTAATTGAAACGATTTATGATAATCATGAGATTTATAAATAAATTTGTATATTATTTTTTTGGGTATGCTTTTATTGGTTTATGTCAGCCACTGACTATATATATATATATATACATATATATATATATATATATATATAATCTCGTATACTAAAGAATATCTCTCTCTTTCTTTCTCTGTTTTTCCTCTACAGTCACAACAGATAACTTTTTGGATCATTTTACCCCATATACTAAAAGGATTGTATTCTCTCTCTCTCTTTGTTTTTCCTCTACAGGTATTTTATTGATAGACACACAGATTTAGAGAGGCAGTTTAACATTAATGTTGATGACGGGAAGATCACATTAGCCAAACCTCTGGACAGAGAGACGGATATGTGGCACAATATCACAGTAACAGCCACCGAAGTTCGTAAGTACAATTTTCCTTTCTTCCTCTTCTCGATTGAAACATTGATTGTATAACAATATCAAAGAGATTGTTACAGTAATGCGCAAAGAGATCATTTAAATCTGTGTAGAGGCACTTCAGACCAATAGAAATTTCACATCACAGTTAGCATCTTTGTTAATTATGTAACAGGATTTACAATGGAGAAACAAATGCAGGTATATAAAGGCACAAAGATAAAAAGGCCAAAACCTGGGCTCTAACTATAAATGAGCCATAACAACTAATGTAATCGAAGCTTTACCTCAGGTACTAATTTACCGTCAGCAGATTTTAAGATGCTAAAGTTTCCTCTCAGAAACCGAAGACAGAAATCTTACTGAATTAAACTGCTCAGCAGTTAATTTCATGGACATCTAATGAGTAATTTCTACTCACGCCAGAGCTGTTTGCTGTACATAACAGATAAAAGAACATCTGTTGACTAGATAAAGAACTTATTAAACACAAGCTGTGGACCAGAAATAAACATTGCACAAGACATCCATAAACCTCGAGATTCATTTTGATTGGCATGTACAGCTACATTATTCAGATACTGGAGCCAAAAATATTTCCCTGGAGGAGGAAAAAATACTGATGTTGTCATATACGATTAACATAAGATGTCTTTGAGCTCAAAGAGCTGAATAAACATAGCAACATTGCATGTGAAGTAAAGCGTGCAAAATGTTCATCGTTCTCAGTGTTTTAACATGATGACCAACAAATCTGGATTTTTTTTTTAGCTGATGCCTCTGGTAAAACAGAATTTGAACAGAAATGTCTGTACAGCATGCCTATGAATATGAGTCAGCGCTACTGCATTATGTTGAAACGTCTGGTCAAGGCTCATAAGCTTCTTTCCTTATTTTATTTAAGAAAGGGTGTTCAAGGAGCGAAATTAATTGACAGGTCAGATGCTGTTTGCTGTTCTAAGTGTCACACAATACAGCAGTATGCCCTGAATTGCCCGTAAGATGTTAAGGTACCATGTCATGTGCTAAAGCCAAACTAATAGATAATTGCTTTAAAAGTCAGCGGTTGCAACCCTAATTAAATACAATCATTTACATGGGTCCTCAAAAGGGACTGCGAATTACTGCCAATGAATAATTCCAATGAAAAGTTAATCTAATTAAATTGCCCTTTATTGTCTTCTAGACTTCAGCTGCCACCATTTTATTAATATTCATTTTTTTAACCTTCATGTATAAAACATGCACCTGTACAGGGGATTTCAAAAGCACTTTTGAATGTGTGTTTTTTTTCACCGTAATCCTGTTTTGCATACTTGATAATGTCTAAAGCTCAGACTGATGCTGCGTCTCATCTGTCTCTCCATCAACCCAGAGGATGGGAGAAAAAAAAGGAGAGGAAGAGAGAAAAATAAATAGTTGTGAGGCAGAAAATAACTGGGTCATTGTATTTACCTGGGATTTGCAATAGCTCTCTTCTATATTTGGCCGCTGCACTTCTCTTCTCCGTGTTTTAATAGCTTGTCTCTTTTCATATTAGGAAACCACAGCCAGATTTCCAGAGCCATAGTGGCAATCAAAGTGCTGGACATAAATGACAACGCCCCTGAGTTCGCCACCGAATATGAAGCCTTCCTTTGTGAAAATGGCAAACCTGGACAGGTAAGAGGGCATCAATCAGGCCCGCCAGCAGCATCTCTCTCTCACAGCTCCTCCGTAACGATCAGCCGCGGTAAATTACAGCCTATTGATTTAAGAGAGATGATTAAGAGACACCTGGGTAGCCTTTTTTAGCCACTCACTCTCTCCCTCCCCCTGCAGAAAATGAAAACAATCAGATCCATTCAGGCCCGGTCAGAGCCTGCATCTCTCTAGCCGATATGCAGTGTCTGTGACTAACAGTATCAGTATGTACTTCCTCATCTTCCGCCCTCTAACACAGTCACCGTAAGAACATTCTCCATCCATGTAGGGAAAAGAATGACCGGGACGGCTGGGTCCTGCTTTACAGCGAGCTGTAAATCATAAAGAAAAAGAACATGTCTTGAACGGGGGTGGCAGATATATAGATGGACTTGGCATAGAAAAGTGGGCTGCCAAAGTCTGCGCCCCTTAGCTTAGGGTCTCTGCTTTTATGAGTGAATGGGACAGATTTTTCATCCCGTGTTGGCAAAAGTAGAGTAATGGATGGCTGGTCCTTCTCTTTGTGTCTGTGTCCACAGGTGATTCAAACCATCAGCGCCGTGGACAAAGACAATCCTTCCCAGGGACACACTTTCCACTACCGCCTGGAGATGCTCAACAATCCCAATTTCACCATCAAAAACAATTTAGGTATGTTCATCTACATTATGTTTTAGCCACCAATACTGTGATACACACATATTGTGATTGAGAAATCATTAAGATTTTTGGAAAGAAATTCACAAAATACAAAAGATTATTAGAAACTATGTTTACCATGTCTCCGGTTGTATATCTTTTAAACTCTGATGTTGTTGTAAATCATTTTGGTGCATATTTTTGGGAAGGCAAAAAGGTATTTTATTTTATTTTTATTTTATTTCTCTCTGTTATGCTTTGTTCCTATTTAGATCTTAGTATATACAGTATGTGCTGCCTTGAGATCCTGGTACCATTGTTTTGTTATTGAAAATCAAAGAAAAAAAAACTATTTAGGTAAGACTGACAAATGACTATGAAACAGCAGGGAAATAAGAATGAAATGAACATTGAGAGAGAGAGAGAGAGGCATCTGTAAGCGCAAACATTGTGTGTCAAGCGCAGTCCGGAGGCATGCATTTGAAGGGGAAATCTGGTGGAATTAGTGTACCCAAAAGTTAGCAGATGCACAATTGTCTGGACATCAGCTATTTTGTAATCCCTGGTGCATTTTGAAAGAAAGCAAATGAACAGAATCCAAGCCGAGGTTTAGCGATGCAACTCGATGTAGGGTGACTTACTCAAAACTGAGGCTGTGCAGCAGATGGTTCTAAATTTGTTTGCTAAATACACTATTTTTTTTTCTTTCTTTTTTGTATAACCTATCCGACCTTCTTTTTCACACTGCGCTCCTGCTGTTCTTTCTGCACAACCTAGTATTGCACTATGCTTTCGAAGACTTGAGGGAGAACTGTATTGATCTAGTTCCATTTGGCATGTGGTCCTATGGCTGACCGTTGAAGGAGCTGTTGTTTTGGCTGCTCACCAAAAAGAGGAAACGTGATATTTTTGAACCAGACGGATCAGACGTTACATCAAAAGAGCTCTGCCTTCCAAGGGACAGTCATGATTTGAGTTAATATGAAAGTTAAGAGTGTGAAAGGGAAAGAAATTGTGTACCCCCCTAGTCTCTGTAAAGAGTGGAGGGACAGAAAAGCCATATATAAAGCTAAGGAAAAAATAGATAAAAAAAATAATCATAATAATAACAATTATTATTTTTATTGTTAGTGCTATACACTATGTAAATATTAAGTTGAATAAAATAAGATTATTTGAATATATTTTACAAGAAAAAACTATTTCTGTCTTTCTGCTTAACATTTAATTCTACATAAAAATGGCATGTTTAATTCACTGTGTTACTTTCTTTTTCCTTGTAATTATTTGTTAAAATGTACTATCAGTTTCTGAGTTGAAATTGTTTTACCACCATAGGTTTCATTTGAACAAAAACATAGCCTCAAAAGACTCAAGAGAAAACAATGTTTAAAAAAATAACAATTGTATACCGTAAACTATACTTTATTTTTGTTTATAAAAGGAAACCATAGTTCCAGGTATGAAATAGGAATTTCAGAATTCAAGAATAGCACATCAAAGAACTAGTATCAATTATGCTAAAGAAGTTGATATTAAAATGAGTGTATGTTAATATACAAAGCAGATTATTATGGTAAAATTTGAATTATTTAGTCTTCTGTTTGTTTATGTGCTGTGATACAAGGTAGACAGTAAAGATGTAAAACATAAAACAGGTTTATGATAGGGAGAAATTATTTTTGTTGTTGTTATAAATTGCATGTGATGGGTTGTATAAAGTGATCAAGTGCACAATTTCCAAACATGTCTAGCATGAATGTACTGGCTTTTATAATATTATAAAATTATTTCTCTTTACATTATGTCCATATAAAATAAATTGAAAGTAGTAAAAGAAAGTATATAATAAATAATGCTGTTGAGCTCTTAAATATTTCTTAAATGCGATCACTTTGTCTTTAGTAATTTCAGTAATGTTTTAGCTAGTTATAACTATGCTGTTTTATATCTGTCAATACAATGAACAAGAAACCCACAAAGAGGATCGGTATAAAAAAAAAGCTGTTTCAAAGAGAAAAATAAAAAAGAAAGATGAAACAATACTGATAGGAAAAGCGTTGAACAATGGGCTACTAAGACAAAGACGGACCTTGAGAATTGTAAGATGAAGCAGACAGACGGAATGTCATTAGTGACAATCTCAGTGATATCTTGAGAGGCAGCATGTATTATGAGTCAGCCTGAGTGAGTTCAGGTTAAAGATGGCCACTCCATCACAGAGACAGGAGAAAGCTCTGTAAGGACACCAGGCTTTGATGCACAGCCTGAGGCGTCTGGTGCACTAAGGCCGCTTTCTCATCTCTTCTGCTGTGTGTGTATGAGTGCGTGTGTTTGATCGTGCTTGGCATCAAAACGTGTGTTCCGCAATTTGACAGCATGTCCAAAGTTGTGCTATATCCTAGTGCTTTTCATCATAGTATGTGTTGTTACTTGTGATTCATGATTAAAAAGCGCAGTGTAGTGTATTGTTAGAATCCCTTAAAAAGAGAGTTCACTCAAATATGAAAATGCTGTCATCATTTACTCACCCTCCTGTCATTCCAAACCTGTATGCCTTTCTTGACTTTGTGAAACACGAGATGTTGTGAAAAACTGTTTTTGGCCATGGAATGAAAGAAAAAAAAATCTAAATCTATTTTAATTTTAATTTTTAATTTTGTTTAATTTAGTTTTAGTTCCTTCAGTAAATCAAGTTGAAAAATGTTGCCTTGGAAACTTGGTGAAATAAAAAAATTATGAATAGTGTGTATATACTGTATATAGTGTACCGTTACCTAATGTAAGCCAATGTGGGTTAATGGAAATTTTGTGTGTATATATCTATAGTTTTTTATTTCTTTAACACACAATTTCCATGAACCCACATTAGATTAGATACATTTACTTACATTTTTCTGTCTATGTATACTACAGGTGCATCTCAATAAATTAGAATGTCGTGGAAAAGTTCATTTATTTCAGTAATTCAACTCAAATTGTGAAACTCGTGTATTAAATAAATTCAATGCACACAGACTGAAGTAAGACTTAAGTCTTTGGTTCTTTTAATTGTGATGATTTTGGCTCACATTTAACAAAAACCCACCAATTCACTATCTCAACAAATTAGATTATGGTGACATGCCAATCAGCTAATCAACTCAAAACACTCACAGCCTTCAAAATGGTCTCTCAGTTGGGTTCACTAGGCTACACAATCATGGGGAAGACTACTGATCTGACAGTTGTCTAGAAGACAATCATTGACACCCTTCACAAGGAGGGTAAGCCACAAACATTCATTGCCAAAGAAGCTGGCTGTTCACAGAGTGCTGTATCCAAGCATGTTAACAAAGTTGAGTGGAAGGAAAAAGTGTGGAAGAAAAAGATGCACAACAACCGAGAGAACCGCAGCCTTATGAGGATTGTCAAGCAAAATCGATTCAAGAATTTGAGTGAACTTCACAAGGAATGGACTGAGGCTGGGGTCAAGGCATCAAGAGCCACCACACACAGACGTGTCAAGGAATTTGGCTACAGTTGACGTATTCCTCTTGTTAAGCCACTCCTGAACCACAAACAACGTCAGAGGCGTCTTACCTGGGCTAAGGAGAAGAACTGGACTGTTGCCCAGTGGTCCAAAGTCCTCTTTTCAGATGAGAGCAAGTTTTGTATTTCATTTGGAAACCAAGGTCCTAGAGTCTGGAGGAAGGGTGGAGAAGCTCATAGCCCAAGTTGCTTGAAGTCCAGTGTTAAGTTTCCACAGTCTGTGATGATTTGGGGTGCAATGTCATCTGCTGGTGTTGGTCCATTGTGTTTTTTGAAAACCAACGTCACTACACCC